TGAAGCGTGTGGGCGACCCGACGGCCGAGAGAGAACAGTGGTTCAGGTGCAGTTCTGGCATTCATCTCTTTTCCTGTCTTTTCCTTCTTCAAATTAGTCTCTTTTCAAGACAATTTAGCAAAACATTTTGGTCGGGGGCACAAATACTATATACTACATATTAATTGTAGAATATTATATATGCTAAAGCCATAATATTAGACAATGCAATGTATACTTATATGCTATATAGTAACACTACGATACAATAGTAATACTATAATACTGTACAATGCAACATATTCTATGTATGCTATATATTCTTACCAAAATACTACATAATATAATATGCACTAACAACATATAGCTTCTCTATATGACTGTGCACACCAAGAAATGGTAATGTTAACCTGAAGTTTTCTGCGGATAAGCTATTTTAAAGACAAGAAGTACTGGCTGCAGGATTAACTTGTAGGGTCTCCCGGATACCAGAATCTGTGGCTGTTCAAATCCTTCCTATAAAATGGCGCAATATTTGCATGCAGCTCATACAATCTTTCCCAATATTTGAAAACATTCTCGATGGCTTATAATGCCAAATACAATGTAACTGCCATATAACAGTGGTTAGCATGTATTTTTAGGGAATAATAAGCATAAGAAGGCACAGACATGTTCAGTTACAGGATGCCTAACTGTGGAACACGCCAGCAACAGCTTGGGGTAACATTGTCCATCCGCGGTTGGTTGGATACACAGACGTACTATGGGTGGGCACAAAGGTCTGTGTTTTGAGGAAATGGAAGAATGTATCTTCAGTGCACAATAAGGCTTGCAGTGCAGGAACAAGATGCTACTGGAACACCAAGACATATTTTATTTGAAACCAGCCATGTCAGGTCAGCCCTGTGGCTCCCTGGGCTAAGCTGCAGCCTCAGGAGCCAGCACTCCATATGAATGCCACGCTGAGTCCTGACGGTTCCAGTTCTGATCCAGATCTCTGCCAATGTACTTGGGAAGGTAGTGGGAGATGGTCGGAATATTTGGATTCCTTCCATCCACATGGGAGACCCAGATGGAATTCTTGGTTTCCGGATGTTGGCCCGGTTCACCTCCAGCTGTGGATGAAAGGTCTGTCAGTAGACAGAGGATCTCTGTCTCTTCCTCTCTCTATATATATAACATGGTCTTTCTTTTTTTTTTCTAAGATTTATTTATTTATTGGAAAGTCAGATATACAGAGAGGAGGAGAGACAGAGAGGAAGATCTTCCATCTGATGATTCACTCCCCAAGTGAGCGCAATGGCCGATGCTATGCTGAGCCAATCCGAAGCCAGGAGCCTCTTCCGGGTCTCCCACATGGGTGCAGGGTCCCAAAGCTTTGGGCCGTCCTCAACTGCTTTCCCACGCCACAAGCAGGGAGCTGGATGGGAAGTGGAGCTGCCAGGATTAGAATCGGCACCTATATGAGATTCCAGCATGTTCAAGGTGAGGACTTAGGCTGCTAGGCCACGCCGCCGGGCCCTATAACATGGTCTTTCAAATGAATAAATCTTTTTAATGAAACCACGCTGCATCTTATATCTAGTTTGCAGAGACAAGAGGTTTGGGAGTTCCTTCAAAGATGTAGGATGCTAAGTTCTAGAAGCATCCCTTGCCACTGGACAGTAGTTCCTCTCTATAGCCTCTGGTCATTGTCCCTTTTTCTTCCCTAAAATCTCTGAGAATGTCACCTACTTTGAAGTGTCTGGTGCCATTCCCCACCCCCATCCCCGCCCTGAGATCTATCTACTAAAAGAATTTTCTTGCTTAAGGTTTTCCACTGATGATGACTTCAAGTGTGAAGGGAAGTATTCCAAGATCTATGCTTTGAGGAGACAGAAAAAGATGTATCCGCAGCTCAACTTTGCTCCAGTCCATGCAAGAGATGGAAGGAGAGATGGTAAGCTCCTCCCTGTGGGCCTGAGAGGGCTGGAGGGGCAGTTGATGGTCAGAAACACAGCAAACTGGCCTCTTCCGCACGGCTCTGGAGGCCCCTTTCATGGGTTGTTAGGGAGGTTGAGAGCCCCAGGGCATCAGGTGGTGCTTGGCCTTGAATTCTGAATCCACAAGCATCAATAAAACTCAGTGTTTCCAAAATACATCACCTGCCACTTTCACAGTTTTTGTCATATTGACATATTATTTGCTCTCTTAGAAGATGTATTTATTTTTGTTGGAAAGTCAGATATACAGAGAGCAAGAGGGTCAGAGGGGAAGAACTTCCATCCACTGATTACCTCCCCAAGTGGTTGGAGCTGAGCCTATCTGAAACCAGGTGCCAGGAGTCTCTTCTGGGTCACCCATGTGGGTGCAGGGTCCCAAGACCTTGGGAAGTCCTTGACCACTTTCCCAGGCCACAGGCAGCGAGCTGGATGGGGAGTGGAGCCACTGGGATATGAACCAGCACCCACATTGGATCCAGGCACGTGCAAAGTGAAGACTAGCTGCTAAGCTATTGTGCCAGGCCCTTTAAAATGTTTTTAAAATCTTATCGTAAATTATGTTGTCATTGCCATCACATTTTGAAAACAAACTGTTTTTCCTCTGACACGCATTAAATCAGATTCATAATAATTAGATTTTAAAATGTTTATTCACGTAAAAGTAGTATACTTTGAGAACTGTTCCCTGAAAAGTTTCAAATGCTAAGTTTATGAATTTCAAAGTTCTTTGTGGTCAGGAGAGAATGAGGGACGGAAAGGCTGGGGTTAAGGTAATACAGAGGAAGGTACACGAATGCGTCTTGCCTTTCATCACTCAGCGAGCATCGCGTTCAGGAAGCACTGCTGTATGTGAGACCCAGGGGCGAGGGCACCAAGGTTCTTGAATGTTGTGTGAATAAGGATTTGAGTTCTCTGCCTTAGGCAGCGGAGGCGCACTGAGAGACTGTGGGCACGGAACACGCATGCTATTACATAACTCTCCAAACTTCACCTTCTCACTTATGGCTCCAAGATAAGGGCTGCTTCTGTGACAGAGTTTTCTCCTGAAGCAATGGCTGAGCCTCCCTTCAAGGATTCCCAACCAGTTCCACAAGACCTTCCTACTGATTGCTTAACAGCTTTGCCAGTCCTCCTCAGCCTGGTCCCAGAACCCCAGGCCTTGTGCTGCCCCTTCTCTGGCTCCTCAAACTTCCCTGTTCCTCCCAGACTCGCTTGAACCATCACATCCCACCCACTGCCTCTCCGTCTATGAGCTCCAACCACATGTGTGGAGCAGCTGGCAAGCACCAGAGAGGGGTTTAACTTGCTTTCCTAGCATCTACGCAGGCTTTGCCTCAAGACCCGAGCCCAATTCCTTCACTCTTCCCAGCAGGCCCATCCCAGACCCTCCAAGTCTGTGTCGCTGCTCCAATATAGCCCAGGCTTCCCCTCCTCCAAAGTCCTGCTCACTGACACATCCAGGATGGATAAGCCATCCCTTGCCTTCCAGAGAAACACTGCCTCCTGGAAGGCATGGTTTGAACTTTGCAAGCCAGTTGAGCAAACATAATGGTACATTTAGCCAAGCTGCAGTTCAAGCTTAAGCGATACCATATGTGCATTATCAGCAGTTTAGCCTGAATCCACATACGGGGAAAAATCCATCTCTGGACTCCAGAGTCTAACGCGGAGGGAACTTTTTTTAAATGTGCCAGGGCACAACCCTGTTAAGAACACGCCCAATTCCCATTTCTAAATAGGACATGTATGACCTCCGCATACAGGACCTGTTATATTCACGGCGACTTCAGTCTCCCTTCCAGAAATCCAGCGAAGATGACGTAGCTCACACGTGGACTTGAGGGGTCTGTTCCGGTGCAGATCCCAAACAGGAGAGGCAGCTGGCCATCGCCCTCTGCCCTAGCCAAGTTCCACAGGCATCCATGTAAGGATCGCTTGGAGAGCACGTTGGGTCGGAACCAGCAGGGCTGTTGAGGCCGCCAAGAGGCTGATAATAGATATAAACTAAGTTAGTGGCCACAAGGACAGGGGACAGAGTTAAGGGACACTTAAAAGGCACATCGCGCATCTGGGAACTCCCCCATGGGCAAGACTATATGATGACGGAAGCTTCCAACTAACATTCAGACCTTAGAGAGAACCTGGAGAAAGCCGGACGCCACGGGTGGAGACACCATGGCTGGCCTCGTGCCGCAGGACAGCTAACCAAGCCACAGTTGAGGGAAGATTAAGGGAACAGGAACACCCCAATGAATGCCAGCCACCTTGGTAGCGACTCTGGGTCAACATGGTTGCAGAAGCATTCCGACAGGGAGAAATTCAAACAAGGAAGACGATACTCGGCAGTGTGGGCTTTGATAAAAGCAGATTCTAGAACAGTAAGGTTGGGCATGGGAGTCAGTGGTCCCAAGTGCACCTGCTTGGTGGGAGTGGAGCTTTCTCGTCCCTGCAAGTGGGTCTCTTCTCATGCCTCCTGTTAGCTGTCCTTCGAGGGCTTCTGGAAACCCGCATTCACTCACCGAGAGGCCCTGTGTTTTATCCTAGCTTCCAAGGGGTCAATGAGCGACAGGCTGCCTTCCAGGAAGACGTGGGAGCCGCTAACCCTCGCCTCGCTGATGGAAGGCAAATCCACCCGCACCGCTACCGGACTAAGCGACTTCCGCCATGGCGGGGCCCAGCAGTGGATTAACGAAAATGTCACTCTCACTAAGTGAAATGAGACGCTTCGGGGCCACCGGGCTGTCTCCCAGGACCCAAGGCCTAGTACCCGCTCATCAACCCAATAAAACCACCTAGAATCATCAACCCAATAAAACCACCTGCCAGCTGCAGTGGCGTGCTTTACCCTGGGGGCGGGGCCGCGCTGGCCACGCCCCGCGAGCCCGGGAGGGGGCGTGGCCGTGTCCCCGGGGCCCGGGCTGGCGGCGCGGCTCGTGGAGGCGGGCCTTGGCCCTGAGTGACGGCTCGGCGGCCCAACCGGCGCGAGGGCGAGGGGCTGGCCTTCCTGCAGCGTCTTCCGCTTGCCGGTTGCGGCGCCTGGGACGGTGGTGGTGGGTCTGGGTGCCGGGTAGCCGTCCAGGATGATTAAAAAATTCGACAAGAAGGACGAGGAGTCCGGTACGCCCACCCTCGGCCGCGGAGGCGCCCTCGCCCGCCCGCCCTGCGCGCTCAGGGCGGTGGGGCGATGGGTGGGGGCGTGGGCTGCGCTGGGCGAGGGCCGGTGCTGGGGGGCCCGGTGGGGTTGGGGTGCAGGTCAGCCGAGGCCCCCCGGGTAGGGCACGGAAGGGGGCGGAGGAGGAGCCCGCGTCCCGGGCTGGGGTCGCCTGGAGCGTGCGTGTGGGTGACCTCAGGTGCCGTGGCAGCATGCAGTGTTTTGGGGGGACCCCGGGCTCTCTCCGTGTGCGTTTTGGGGGATGCCGGGCTCAGCGTGTGCCTTTTGGGGGGACCCCGGGCTCGGTGTGGCCTGTCTGGTGCCTTTAGAGGACGTGCAGCGCGCTGGACAGCTGCTGTCACGGCGTGCTGGACACTGGGTGGCTTCATCTCCCCCGCCGTCCGACAGCATCACCCTCGGGGCAGCCTTTGCTGGTGTCGGCCTCGGGTGTGAGAAGCAGCCGTGGTGCTGGCCTGGGAGGCTTCACGAGTGCCCAGCCGCGGCGAGGGACACACGTGCGACCCTGTCGGAGGCTCTTGGGGAGGGTGGGGCGGCGGGCGCTGGGAGCACAGGGCACCTGCTGCTCCCCGCCCGGCTTGGCCTGTGCTCCCCGCTCCCTGCCTGGACAGCTGCTGAAGATGTCTCTGTTTTACGATGCAGGCAGTGGCTCCAGTCCCTTCCAACACCTGGAGAAGAGCACGGTCTTGCAGGAGGTATGGCTGACAAGCGTGTCGCGCTTTCTGTTCCCCACGGCTGGGCCCAGGACTTCCACGGTGAAACGTGCAGGCCGGAGCGACAAGCAAGATGGGGTTGCGTTTCTCCTGGGAATCTAGAGCCCCCAGGAATGGAAAGGAGACACGCAGGCTCTGCCTGCTGAAATGTTTAGCACAGGATTAAAAGAAAGTCCATATTAAGTTCTCATTCATATGCTGCAGAGAAAGTGGATCTTCTACTACAGATTAAAAGGCCATAAAGTTAAATAGCTAAGTTAGAGAATGAAGTAGAAAGTGTGGGGGGAAAAGCAGGGCCACATCTAATAACGTATCCAAAACACAGTCAGCTGAGGTCTGCGGACTTTGCATGGTGTGATGGAACATAACCCCGGTAGATTTGCTGTAGTTTGGGACGGGGAAGGGAGCGGGCACATCATCCCTAACATACATTCCTATGTTTACGTAGGCTCGTTTGTTCAATGAAACTCCCATCAACCCAAGAAGATGTTTACATATTCTTACAAAGATCCTTTACTTACTGAACCAGGTAAATCCTTTTGGCTTTCCTCCAGTTTGTGTCTTGGAATAGCAGAATGCAATGCAGAGCAGCACCGCCTGAACAGCAGGTCACTTAAAACAAATTGACTTTACAGTGAGTGTCTGGTTAATGACCTGCAGGAGTCCCTGGTGTGAGGGGTGCTTCTCTCTCCTTGAGTTGTTAGACCAGCGAGCCCCCCACATCCCCAAGCGGGGCTCTCAGGGTCTCCTGACCCTGACTGCATGAAAAATAAAGAAAAAACCAAGTCCTGCGCATACCGTAGTGTTCAGATAGAGTGCAGAGTGAGTGACAGGTTTTAGTTCTTTTGTCTTTATATGGTAGTGTGTCTGAACGCTCGGACAGGAATATCCAGGTTGTATGTGTTGATCCCTCTTCCATGATCACTGGCAACATGGCGTGGGCAAGTCACTTCGCTGTGTTGTTCTTTTACTGGAAATTGTGATAATATCGATTTAATAAGGTTGTAATGACTGAATTAAATAATAAACGTAAAGCGCTGGAAATAGGGCTGGATATAAGAGGCATTTAGGAATAATTTTCATTCAGTTAATCAAATATTTGCTCCATCCAGCTGTGTCACATGTTGCTGGGAAGAGTGGACAAAAGCAGTAAAGTGTTTGCATGTAGCGAACGGAGAGTCTGCTTGCAATATTGTTATTTTTTCCTTCTATTTTTTTGTCTCTGGCTGAAAAAAGAAAAAAATCTCATGAAATGCCACAGTCATTAGAAAATATAATTGTGTTTTCAGAAGTTCTTCAAGTTCATGGAAAGTACATATTGTGAAGAAGCTGTATCTGAGTTTCAAAAATGTTTGCACCATTATAAAACTTATCTTTTAATTCTATTTCTCCTTGAACTTTTTGAAATCTTGCATACATTATCCACCTCAGGCCGTTTGCATATGCCAGGACTGTTACAATTTCCTGTCTGAATTCTTTTTTTTTTTTTTTTTAAGATTTATTTTTATTACAAAGTCAGATATACAGAGAGGAGGATAGAAAGAAAGGAAGTGGAGCTGCTGGAATTAGAACCGGCGACCATATGGGATCCTGGCGCGTTCAGGGCGAGGACCTCAGCCACTAGGCCATGCCGCCGGGCCCTCCTGTCTGAATTCTGAGGGAATATTTTGTCTGCCATATTTTGAAGACCCCATAACATATCGTGTCCAAGTGAGCTAAAGTCAGTCTATAAGCAGAGTTTTAGCGTTCTAAACGTTGATCCAAAGTAGCCTGTGCTTTTATATCGGCTAATACCTTTCTCAGGACAATTTATGTTGAGAAACTGTCACAGGGGCTAAACCTCCCTGCATGACGGGCTTGGGAACAGTTGTCTGATCTCTGCCTAATTCTTGGTAGGGCTTTATGGAAAAATACTTTTATGTTTTTATCAGGCGGTAACGTGATATTTTCTGGAAGTTTCAAATAAAAAAGTAGGAGGTTAATGTTTTAATATGACTGAAAGGTACATGAGCTTTTGGATATTCGATGAAATAGAAATGTTAAGTGAAAGAAACTCTTGCTAAAAGCAAGTTGGACTGTCATCTACTCACTTACAAAACCCTTACATTTTTTTCCACCCCAAAGTTTCCTTTCATCACAATTTGCTGTGCTCACAGCAAACGGGTTGGAGAGTAGCTCCCTGAACATGAGGTGAGTGTAGTCGTAGGACTGCTCGGAATGCAGGAAGTGTGTTCTGGAATGAAGTGCTCAGGTAGTCTGTGAACTGGAGTGTTTAGAACGTAAACCGAGTGGGGGTCTGTTCTGGCTGTCCGTGCTGTGATCAGCCGGTGAGCAGCGTGTGCCGCACTGGGAGCATGTTAGCAATGTCATGTCTGGGGCTCGTTCAGGACTGCCCGGAGTCAGAATCTGCGTTTTTGGCAAGATGACTTGTTGGGCCCACTGGAGTGGGTGGAGCCTTGGTGCAGAGCGTGCTCACAGGGCTGGCCGCTGTCTTAGGTCGTCGCATCTCCTTACATCTCCTTACACCGTGTTTTTAAGGATGACTCGAGCCTCTGCCCTGTGGCTTGGCCCTGTCCGTGGGCCGTGTTTGCTGGGGTTCCTGATGGGTGGTTCCTCGCAGTTGAACATTAGGCTTCTCTGCTGGTGTCAGCGCTGGAGCATAGGAGCCTGAGTGGTGAGAGCTTTGCTCTGGCGTAGCTGAGTGAACATAGTTAGGATGAGAGGTTCCACTTACTGTCGTTTTTTTAACTTTTAAGTCACAGTTAATCAGGGAAGCTAGAACAATTTCTGTTGCAAGGCTTGAGGCCGCTACTCTGGAACTTTTAAGTATGGTATATAACACTGCATATTAAATAGGAGTGTATAAATAAATGGCCATGTGGATGTATAAATTGAAAGCCAGAAAAGATGTTAAGATACTGAATGTTTACAAAGAGTTTTTTCCTTGAGTTTTAGAAGTTTCATGTAAATGTAGAGAACATATATTGTCTTAAAAATTATTCTGACTCGTCCTCAGGGTGAATACTTCGGAACCACGGAAGCCACGGAAGCCTTCTTCGCCATGACCCGATTGTTTCAGTCAAATGACGTAAGCCAGTTGATTCCTTTAAGATGAAAAGCCGGTTGCCTTTCTCTCGGGGAATTCCCAGCGTTCCAAATTGGGAGTGGTTTGTTGAAATGTTTAAAATCTGCTCAGAAAGTATTCACTATCACAAGCTCAGAATAATTTTCGTTAGAGGTACCCGGCCATGACCGCCATCCTTGGATCCCCGCCACCTGTGTGGGAGAACAGACTTGAGTTTCACAGATCACAACCTGGGCCAGCCCAGCGTGTGGAGAGCGAACTGGCAGGGAGAGGAGCTTTCTGCCTCTACCTTTCTAGTTGGTTTGCTTGGAAAGTTTTATTCATCTTATATTATACATGTAAATAATAAATTTCCATAGACCCTGGGGTTTCCCCAACCCCCTCCCCACCACTGACTTCTCCCATATCATTACAACAGCAGAGTCCCTCATAAATGGTCCTAAGTCATTGCAGGCATGGACAGTGGCAGAGTCCAGCATTCCATTGTCAAGACACATCCAGCAGTTTCACTGGGAGTCCATCCTTGATCCGGAAGCAGAGATGCACACTGCACCTTATCCTCACGTCAGGACATGCCAGTCTCCACTGCACTGTCACTAAAAATTCTCCCAAGTGAAAACCCACAAAACAAAACCAACAACTAGAAAGTTATAACACCACGAAGTTAAACAACATGCCACTGGATATGATAGTCTCCATTACACAGTTATTATAACCCCCTTAGATGCAAAGCCACAAAACAAAATCAACAACAGGAAGAAAAATTATAAATTATAATGCCATGAAATTTAATAGCATGAATAATGTGTCACTAAAGAAATGAAAAAGGAAATCAAGAACCTTCTTGAGGAAAATAATGGAACTGTATGATCTGAGTCATTAAAGAATTTAATGAGAAAAAAATATGTTTTGAAGAAATGAAATTAAAAACATCAAAATCCATGAGATATGATTTCTACTGATCTTTGTTGGTGAGATTGTGTCTTCTGTAGGCAACATGGGTTTTGTGTCTTTAATCCAGTCTACTAATCTTTGACATTTGATTGATGAGTTTAAGCCATTTACATTCAGGGTTAATATAAATTGCTGGTAATTTGGTTCTGTCGTTTAGCAATGAGTTGTCCACTAATTTAGTCTTCTGTTGTTATTATACTGGGATGTACTTCACATTTGCCTTTGGTTTTGGTGGGTGCTGTTCCCTTTCTCTGTGAGGAAAACATCTTTAAGTATCATTTGTAGGGCAGGCTCTGAAAGAGGCATATTCTTTTAACTTTTCTTTATTGTGGAAGAATTTTATTTCATTTTCAAAGACAAAGGAAAGTTCTGTTGGGTACATTATTTTGGGCCAACGATTTTTTGCTTTTAAAATCTGGACTGTGTTTTCTGGCCTGTAGAGTTTCCTGTGAGAGATCAGCTGTGAATTTAATTGCCATTCCTCTATTTGTGAATTGATTTTTTTCATGTGCACATTTTAAGGATCTTTTCCTTACGCTTGATTGATGAGAGCTTGATTGTCAGTTGTTGTGGTTAAGATCACTTTTGGTCAACGCTATTGAGAGTTCTGTGATGTTGTTTCCTAATTCTCCAGATTAGGGAAAATTTCCCTTATTATTTCATTGAATACATTTTTAAACACAGCTTCTTTTTCTGTATCTTCTGGAACTCTCATAACTCTTATATTTTGCCTTTTAATAGTGTCTAATTCTGGAATACATTTTTTTAGCTTGACTCAGCTCTGCTTACAGCTTCTTGATTCTTTCTCTGTGTGACAAGAAATATCTTCCAATTCTGAGATTCTTTCTTCTGCCTGCTTTGTTCTATTACTGAGACTTTGCGTTGAATTTTTAATTTGCTCTATTGCATTCTTCATTTTCAATGATTCAGCTTGATTTTGTTTCAGTGTTGCTATTTGCTGTGTGGCATATTCTGTAAATTCCTGCATGTGCTTCTCGTTGCTAATAAGCTTTATAACAAGTGTTTTGAATCCTGTTTCCGCCATTTTCTCTATGTCTTCCACAGTTAACTCTGAGGTTGGCAAAAGCTTTTGCTTCTTTGCAGGGAAGTCTTCAGTAATACTCATTGTGGCTTTGTCTCTTCTTTTGCTGTTGGTCATTGTCCTTCTGGTTAGCAAGCAGATTCTTCTCCGTAGGGCAGGCTTCCAGGCTGTGTCACCTACAGTTCTGCGATTTGATTTTACTTGTTGTGGTTGGTACACGGATTTTTGTTTGCAGTCACTTGTGCCACTCTTATGTTAGACTTTCACCATGGTCTCCTTAGCCCCAGTTGATGGCCCACCCCTCTCTACCTCCTGTGATCCTGTGCTGCTGTTGTACTGCTGTCTGTAGATTTCTCCCACTCCTGGTTGATGCAGTTCTCAGGATTAAGGAGACACCACGTGTCCTGAATAGCCAGGTTGCTGGTGGTGCTGATCTTGCTAGAACCTGCTGGCCGTTAGGTCTGTGGACCACTTGGACCTATTTTGAGTCATAAGGTGCCAAAATTGGCATTATTTTTGATGTGGGGCCAGGGCAATGTGCTGAGCTCAGTGAGTTTGCTTGGAGCTCAGCACATACACAGCTCACCGTTGTCCCTGCAGTCTCAAAACCTTTGCCAAACTGTACAAAATGGCGCCTAGTGTGCATCTCACAGAGTTCTTCATCTACTGGCTGTTAGGTCTGGGGGATACCTGGACCTGTTTTAGGTGAAACCTACAGAATGCCCTGTCGTTGGGATTCACTGATCCCCAAATGAGTTCCCTCCCAGCTTAGAGTATGTATAAATAGTCCTGTCTCATAGTCATAGCCTCTCTGCACAAGATGGCGCCCGGTGACTTTTACTGGAGGTTTGGGCTGTGAAATCCAACCTGTTCCCGCACTGTCTGCTTGGGGTCTGCTGCTCTGTCTCTGCTCCTGGTCAAATCAAGGAAACCAGCAGGATGGGCAGTTGTTTGTCTGGGTTCACCTCCTGAGCTCCCGGTGAACTCCCCTTGCCACCTGGTTGCTGGTGGAGTCCTGGCCAGCGGTGGAGGTGCGGCTGCCCCTTGCGGAATGCCGCCGGCCCACCGGGTCACTGCAGTTCCACGCTGTTGTCTCTGCTGCTCTCCTGTGTTGCTCTCTCCTCTGCTATTTTCTGGAATGTGCCCTCTCTCTTTCTGGCTGATGTTTCTCCATCTATTTCAACATGTTTTCACCCTGTTCTGCCATCTTGATTCCCCGCATGTTTCGCTTCTGATCTGGGAAATGCGCAGTGAGGGCCTAGGAGTCCGGGCTCCTGCACCTGTAAGGAGCCCCACATGGATTTCCGTACTCGTGCTGTTGTGGCTATCTGGGGAGTAAACCAATGGATGAAAGATCCCTCTCTGAGTGTAACTCTGACTTTCAAATAAATAAATAAATTTTTAAAAATATGAAGTATGGGGCCCAGCATGGTAGCCTAGCAGCTGAAGTTTTCACCTTAAACTTGCTGGGATCCCATATAGGCACCCATTCTAATCCCGGCTCCATTTACCGTCCAGTTCCCTGTCTATGGCCTGGGAAGGCAGTTAAGGATGGCCCAAAGTTGTGTGGGAGACCTGGAAGAATCTATTGGCTCCTGTCTCCAGATTGGCTCAGCTCCATCTGTTGTGGCCACTTGGGGACTGAGTTAGCAGACAGAAGATCTTCCTCTCTGTCTCTCTTCCTCTCTGTATATCTGACTTTTTTTTAAAAAGATTTATTTATTTTTATTGGAAAGGCGGATACACAGAGAGGAGGAGAGACAGAGAGGAAGATCTTCTATCTGCTGATTCACTCCCCAAGTGAGCGCAATGGCCGGTACTCACTGATCCAAAGCCAGGAGCTGTTCCGGGTCTCCCACACAGGTGCAGGGTCCCAAGGCTTTGCGCTATCCTTGACTGCTTTCCCAGGCCACAAGCAGGGAGCTGGATGGGAAGCAGAGCAGCTGGGATTAGAACCGGTGCCCATATGGGATTCTGGCACGTACAAGGTGAGGACTTTAGCCACTACGCTATCGCGCTGGACCCCTGACTTTCCAATAAAAATGAATAAATATTTAAGAAGAAATGCAGCTTTTTTAGAGCCCTCTAAACATCTGAGTAGATAAATTGCTCAAAACCAAAGAAACGAAGCAGTTCCCCCTTCTTAGTATCTTAGCCAAGCGTTTGTTGGGTTTCATTGATAACAGTTATTCTGGCAGGGGTGAGGTTCTACTTCATTGTGGTGGTTTCAACTTGCATTTCCCTGGTGGCTGGTGATACGGAACAGTCTTTGTATGTATTGGTTGGCTGTGTGTGTGTGTGTCCGTGTGTCTGTCTCTGTGTGTGTCCGTGTGTCTGCATCTCTGTGTGTGTCCGTGTGTCTGTGTCTCTGTGTGTGACTGTGTGTCTGTGTCTCTGTGTGTGCCCGTGTGTCTGTGTCTCTGTGTGTGCCCGTGTGTCTGTGTCTCTGTGTGTGTGTGTTTTGCAAACTATTCAGGTCCTTTGCTCATTTCTTCACTGGATTGGTTATTCTCTGTGTGTGTGTTTTAATTTCTTGATATGTCCTAAATATTAATCTTTTGCACGTGTTGGCTGTCCTCCGTGCTCCCTCGCTCTGCAGAAGCGTCCGAGTTTTATATGATTCCATTGTCTCGTCTCCGCCTTCCTTGCCTGAGCTTTTGGGGCCTATCAGTGTCTTTCGTGTGTTCTTACAGCACTTCACTGCTGCATGTTTTACATCTAGATCTTCGATCCATCTTAGCTGATTTGTGTGTGTGTGGTGCGAGGTGGGGATCAAGTTTCCGTGTGTATGCCAGGTTTTGCCGTTAGCACACCTCCTTGGCGGCTCGCTGGAAGCCCGCTGGCCGCATGGGCGCGGATGCTCCTGGGCGCAGATGCTCCTGGCCTCGCTCTGCGCCAGTGCGGGGCTCCTTGCCGTCCGCGGGGAAAGCAGGTGTCGGCCTCCAGCTTGACCTCCCTGCTTGCAGGGGGCGCTTTCGCTTTTCTGGTTTTTGTTCGATTTTTTGGTTCCATACAAATTTTAGGATTGTTCTTTTCTGATTTTGTAAATAGTATGATATTTGGTAAGATTACACTGAGTCTGCAGATTGTTTTAGGTAGCCCGACACTTTGATGATGTCAATCAGAATTCATGAGTGGGGAGTCTCTCCTCACCCTCCTCAGGCCTTTATCTCTGTCATCAGTGTCATACAGCTTTTGTTGTAAAGATTCTTCACTTTTTCATTAAATTTATCCTAAGTATTGATGGGGGGGCTATTGTAAATGGGATTTTTTTCTTTCTTTCTCTTTTAGCAGTGTCATTATTGTTGTCTAAAATGCTGCCTTTCTGTGTGGTGATGTTTGTGTCCTGCAGCCGTTTTCAGGTGGTTTTCCAGTTCTAACAGCTTTTGGGTGTGTTTATGTTCTGGTTTTCCTTGTGCAGGATTCTGTCATCTGCAGGCACTGACGTGCTTTTGATCTCTCCTTTCTGATTTAGTGCCCAGTATTTCTTCCCTAATTGCTCCTGCTAATACTTCTGATACTGCATTGACTGGTCTTTTCAGTTCAGTTTGCTAGTATCACAATGAAAATTTTCAGTCTGTGTTCTTCCTAGGTATTCCATTAGCGTTCTGTTCTCCTTATATTGTGTCCTTGGGTTTTAGAGTTCCAGCCTTTTCAGTATTTTGGAATAGTCGAAAGAGTGTTGGAGTTCTTTAAATGCTTTCCAGAATTCACGTGTAAAGCCACAGCGCTCTGAGCTTTTCTTCATGAAACAGATGTGGCTGACTGCGACTTACAGCACCAAGGGCCCGGTGCCAGTGCAGGGCCTATGGAAGGACCCTTGCCAAGTCCTGGGGACTGTACTCTGGCATGTGTGAGTGTGTGTGTGTGTGTGTGTGTGTGTGTGTGTGTGTGTGTGTGTGTGTAAGAGAGAGTGGCTGTAGAGAGAGGCACTCTGGCGTGTGTGAGTGTGTGTGAGTGTGTGTGTGAGAGAGTGGCTGTAGAGAGAGGCACTCTGGCGTGTGTGAGTGTGTGTGAGTGTGTGTGTGAGAGAGTGGCTGTAGAGAGAGGCACTCTGGCAGGTGTGTGTGAGTGTGTGTGTGAGAGAGTGGCTGTAGAGAGAGGCACTCTGGCGTGTGTGAGTGTGTGTGAGTGTGTGTGTGAGAGAGTGGCTGTAGAGAGAGGCACTCTGGCGTGTGTGTGTGTGTGTGTGTGTGTGTGTGTGAGAGTGGGTAATAGTCCCAGGCCTGGAGTTTGGATGCAGCGCTGTCCTGGCTCAGGTCTCGCAGGGGGAGTGCCTGTGGTGCTGGGGTTGTGGACCGGCTGCTTCTTTGGGAGCAGCCACTTTCTCGTCCAGGACTCTGTCTTCTGGAGCTTTTTGTCTGCAGATGATCATTTTAGCGTTTTGTCATGTTCCCTTTACTGCTGGAAACAGGAGTAAACAGCTGGAAAGCTGTTAAATGCTTTTAACAAATCAAATCAATCATTCCAGGTTCCTATCCTTAAGGTCCCACTTCCCTGTAACCACTTTCTTTAAATGCAGCAGAAATTAAGCGTTCACTCAGGGAAGCCCAGCCACTCTAAGTAACATGAGCCTAGATACAGATATGTATCAGAGGAGTTAGACCAAAGGACCAGGAGTTGCGGGCTCCTGAGGGATCACTCAGAGACCGTTACAGATGTTGCTGCACCGTGCGACCCTGGCTTTGCAGCGGTTCTGTTGCTCGCAGGGATGCAGTCGGGGGAGAGGACCGAGAGCGGGGCAGAGTGGCAGCCTCGAACCTCGGGCGTAGTTCGTGCTCGAATAGGTTCTAGGGACAGACGAGGGAAACAGGATTGTTGGACAAAGCCAGTGACCTGATGTAGGTATTGCTCATGAATGTGTGGCATTGCCAGGCTACATGGGGAATGTTTTGCTCTTTTGGCAGGCTCTAGATTAAGACATGGAAATGTTAGAATTTGAGTTTAGTCACAGTTAAAGTTAGTAACAGAAGGAGGGGCAGAAGAAGTTGAGTGATTGAGATACTAATTAGGATGGAAGTAAAGAGAGTTGATTGAAATGGCAAAGTAAGATCAGTGGCTTACAGATAATGTTGGTGACAAAAGAATCTTTGGGGTCAGGAGGAAGGTAGTCAGATGCTTAGAAATGAAACTTTATTTTGTTTTAAATTTAGTGGATTAAGCTGGTGCTGTGGCACGGAAGTCCCCTCTTGGGGTGCTGGCTCAGATCCTGAGTGCTCTGGTTAATGTGCCTGAGAAGACAGTACAAGATGGCCCACATGCGTGCGCTTCAGCTGTTCACTCCCCAGATGGCTGTACTGGCCAGGGGTGGGCCAGTCCAAAGCTGGAAGCAGGACTTTCCTCCAGGTCTCCCGCATGGAAGAAGGGGCCTGAGGGCTTGGGCCATTTTTCACTGATTTCCCAGGCCATAAACAGAAGCATGGTACCCACATGGGACACTGGTACCAAGAGGTGGAGGATTATCCTGTAATGCCACCAACCAGCTCAACCCCATGTTTTATTTGTATATTGTTCTAGCCCCATACTGTAAAAGAATTTTTAAAAAGCATTTTCCAGGAAAAACTTTTAAGACTTTGAAAAACTTAAGCCTTTAAATTTAAAATGTCAGAGCACAAGTTTGTTTCTATGTAGTATACCCATGCAAGTAATTGAGGTTTTTTTTTAAGTAAAGATTTTATTTTTTTATTGGAAAGACAGATACACAGAGAGAAAGATCTTCGATCTGTTGATTTACTCCCCAAGTGGCCACTACAGCCAGAGCTGAGCCGATCTAAAGCCAGGAGCCAGGAGCTTCCTCCAGGTCTCCCATGCAGGTGCAGGGTCCCAAGGCTTTGGGCCATGCTCGACTGCTTTCCCAGGCCACCGCCAGGGAGCTGGATGGGAAGTGGAGCAGCCTGTACAGTAACTGGCGCCCACATGGGATCCTGACACATGCAAGGCGAGGATTTAGCCACTAGGCCACGCCGCCAGGCCCAGCACTGGAGTTTTTAAGCTTTTACATGGAAATTTTACAATATGTTAGTGTATCATTTATAACATAATTATATTCAGACTGATTGTTTTGGGTAGTCAAAAGCCTTTTAACATAGATAGATGCATCTACTAATAGAGTCATCACTGTAAACAATTTTTAAGACCATTTCCTTATGTATAATGCATTGCCTTTTGTAATTTTTCAGCAAACACTGAGGAGAATGTGTTATCTTACGATCAAAGAAATGGCCACCATCTCTGAGGATGTGATCATTGTCACGAGCAGGTGGGTCAGTGTCCGGGCTGCGCATGCGCACGTCTCCGGAGTGCTGCCCTTCTCTCTGCCTCACTGGGAGGAAATCAATAGGAATGTCAAAGTGTGTGAGATGACTAAAGCATCCTTGTGTAAAATTCAGTTTACTTCATGTGACAGCTGTCCCTGTCTGAACAGCAAAGAAAGACTACACAAAGGAAATGCTCATTGATTCGAGTGCATTATAGGGTTAACACAGTGTGTGGATTAAGCTAAAAGATGGTATCGTGGAAACCTTTGATCTGAAGCACTCTTACACTGAAGACCTGCAGTGACCAAGACAGATGATGTGAGGATCTCTAGCTGTTCTCACTGGTAGCCAAAAAAGTGAGATTAAAAATTCCAGAATGAGTTATAATGTTTTTGTTCAAGTTGGCAAAAGCAAAAAGACAACATTTGGTATTTTTAAGGAAGACTTACATTCTTGTACATAGAAGTTCGAGTATGACATTGATTCAGTTTTCTAGAAGTTCGGCAGCATGCACTGAGTGCTTGGAAAAGCTTTTTTATATGACTTAGTAACACCACATCCAGGGCTGTCCTCAGTGATTGGACATAGCGCAGACAAACACAGTGATGCTTGGTGCAGCACTGCTCGCATTAGCAAAAAGCACAAAACAGCTTATTGTCTTACTGCTATTAAAATTATTTAATCAAATGTGTCATATTATGAAATATTTTAAATCTGTGAAAATATTTTTTAAAATCTGTTTGGACATAGACAGTTCCGCACTGAAAATCCAGATGCAAGTTGGAGTCAGTCTTGTCATTGTTCAGAGTCTCACTCTGAAAAAATACTTTCTGTGGGTCTGGTCAAGTGCGAGTAGAATCAGGACGGTTACTTGGGTTACTTCCAAGTTAATGGAAAATGGAATTAAAAACTGATTTTGATGCAAATATTTTTAACTCCATACATATGAAAGGTCTTAAGAAAAACTCATTGGAAAATACACATTGTGAAAAAAAAAACTGTGGATTTCAAATTTTTTTCTCACACTCAAATAAAGTAATCTTTTGTTGCATCGCCCGTGAACTTTCTGAGTTACCCTGTAACCGACACGGGAATGTGGAGGACTGAGGCTAACGCCTTTTAAGTTTGAAAACGTATTTATTTATGCCTTATAATTCTATATGTATAAAATTTGTGGTTCTGTCATATATGATAAATGTCATTAAAAAGTAACTGCCTTCTTAATTGTTAATTCTAAGTCATTTAAGTGAGTGTGTTTTGTATAACAGAAGCATGTGTGTGTTTTTGGAAGAAAGTGCTTATGTTGAAGCAGCGATTATAGTGTATATAGTTTCAATTAGAAAAACTTTCAATGAAAAGCTGATATAAACAGAGACTTAAAGTAATGGAAGCTTGTTTTCCTTACGTCAGCCCACGTCTGGAGGCACGGCATTGCTGTTGCTGGTCTGTAATTCAGTAGAGTTGTGGCTGGTGTCTCTTGAATGCCTCTTGGACGTGGTCCCTTACTGCCTGAATTACCGTCAGTGCGGCACGTGCGAGACGGGAGGGCTTCTGGGAGGAGAGCTGAGAAGGCCAACACCGGCTGTCTCTTTGTCAGGAATGCAGTAGCGTTTCCCAAGGCAGTTTTTAGGTTTCATCTGGCATGACTATTTCACGACTATCCTTCGGAGGTTAGGAAAGTGAGCATTTAGCTTTTACAGCCAAGAATTATGAGCAGGCAATGGAGAATGGGTTGGAATTGGTGTTGGGTTAGTTAGTGTGCAGTGTCTGCTGCAAGTCCAAGACAAAACCTTAAGTTACATTGTCAGATTAACTAAATATTTTTGAAAATTAAAAATAAATGTGTCAACCGTTGATTGAGTACAGCCATTAATATTCGCTCAGTTTTGCTAGGTCACCTCACCTGTGGTTTGCTTTTCTTTTCTTCAAACGGAAGTAGGAAGAATAGGAGCAGTAAGGACCACCAGAGCAGGGCAAGCCCCGTTCCCAGGACCTGTGGCTGTGCTGCAGGCCAGAGAAGGGAAGTTCAGGTTGGCAACTAGCCGGTGGGGGGACTGTCCTAGGTTATCTCAGGGGCGCTTTCTTCTAAAGTGTAGCCATGAGCAACAGCCACAAAGGATGAGGAAGGAGGTGAAATGGTGGGAACAAGGTCAGAGCTGCTCTGTGTGCCTGGCTTTGCACGGGAGGAGAATGGCTCTCAGGACCCTGCCTTCCTTCTGCTGGAGCCTCAGGACCAGCAGCCAGAGGTCTAAGCTTCGAAGGGCACATCCTAGCCCTGTCGGAACCGTGGCAACCCAGCTAGCCTCCAGCAAGCACTGGCAGGCCACGGAGACCTGTGTGCAGCCTCTGGCTTCGAGAGCTGTGGCAGAGAGAAAGAGGTCATTTTGTCTTTAAGTCTGTAGTACATTTTGATAACAGCTGGAGAACAGCTGGAGAAAACTAAAAGAGGTGAAGTGCTTCAATGACATTCCTAAAAATGAAGAAGCGGCTTTGAAGTTGGCAGTGAGCACGTGCGACAAGCGTTTTGTGCATCTGTTAGGAGAAGCCTGAATTGCTGTGAACAGACTAGTTAGGAGGGCTGCTGGACTCAGAAGAGAGAAGCAGAATAGAGAATATATTTGGGACCCGTGAGCATACTGAATCCCTCATTAGACTGGAGTGTGGATACCAAAGGTGCTGCTGGACGAGCCCCAGGGGAACATGAGCAAGATGTTGGTGGCCAGAGGAAAGGGGATCCCAGTCAGTGTAGACACAGAAGAGGAATAGTTGTCTCCTGTGAGTGTGTGTGTTGTTTGTGAACCGTGAGCTTGAATTTTAATAAAAGTGAAGTCCTTTGAGAGTCAGTGGGCATTTGGCACAGCGATGAGTTGTCACTGGGCCACGCGGTTGCAGCTCTGCCCTGATCCTGCTTCCTGCCGACGCGCATCCCGAGTGACAGTGGTGGCACCTCAGGTAGTTGGGGCCCTGCCACCCGTGCGGGGGACCTGGACTGAACTCTAGGCTCTTGCTGCGGCCTGGCCTGACTGGCTTTTGTGGGCATGTATGGGAAACAGAAGACCTTTTTCTGTTTCGTACTCTCTGAACCTTTCAGATAGCAAATTAACTAAAAGTAGTTAATTTGAGGGAGAGAATCCATTCACTGATTCATTCCCCAATTGCCAACAGCAGTGCACGCTGGCTTAGGAGAGAAGCCACTTGAGAGACGGGGCCCATTCACCCGAGGTCAGCGCTGCGTCCCAGGGTCAGTAGTAGAAGGAACGTGGGGTCAGAGCTGGGGTCACACCGGGGACCAGCATTCAGGATGTGATCATGCTAAATAGGATGTTATCTCCTAAGCAAAGTGCATGTACTCAGAACTTGGATGTTTAATTGAAGAGATTTCCAAGAAAAATGCTGAGGTGTGGGTTCGTTTCTTTGATGCTGGTAGTAACATTTGAAAGTAGAGAAATAAATTAAGGGGGAGCTGTTTAAAAAGAAGCAGGGCGTGGCGATTTGGGAAACTGTTGGCCTACCTGGGTGGCAAAGGGCGCTTAACTCCAGAGACTGAAAGAAAGGACTCGAGCAAAAGCCCAGAGGTGTCGCATGTAACTTGTTGCTGGGACTACGGAAATATCCACAGACCAGCATATTCGTTTATACACAGCACTCTGGAGAGATTAAGACTATGACTCAAAAACTCCCTGAAATCTAAGCAGAAGGCACAAATGGAGATGGGATCATCTAGGCAAGATCTGTGCAGGAGCTTGTGTCCCCTGCAGTGGCAGTCTGCATTTAGCCGGTCCTGACTGCCAAGGGCCAGGAGATGGATGAGTGAAGGAAGGCTTTCAGAGCCCCAGTGCTCTGCAGGCAGGAGAAAGGTGTGCTAGACAGCTGCCTGCCGCCCTTGATGAGAAGGGAAGGGCCGGCGTGTCGCAGAGGCGCAGGCTGTGTGAGCAGAGACCCGCTGCCGGTGCTGGTGGGGTGAGAGCCGCTCAGGACCCACGCTTCTTGCCACCTTCCCTTTCTGAATGGGACTGTCTCGGACTCTTCCCCTCTGGATGTCACAGCCTTGTGCTGTGGGAACGGGGACTTGCTTTCTATTTTTACAGGTTCACAGATGGAGAGGGAGGGATTAAACCAGGAACCTCACCCAGATCTAATTTAGATGCTTTTGATAATGGGATTGGGACTTTTGAGTCAGAATTGGAGAAGATTTTGTTCTTTGCATTGATATTGCAATGTGTTGAGATTTGGGGGGGGGGGGCCTTTGGATGGGGGTGTATAAATGTTTGCAAATGAAATGGACATAGCTTTAATGATACAATGATTTTTTTTTAACTGAATGAGATGACCGTCCCATGTTTCTAGACAACTCTTGTTTGATGGCGGGAGCAGGGAGAGTAATACAAGCTGAAGGCAGGAGCAGATGGCACCACTGCTGGGCAGGCCAGTCCCGGCTGGGTGCCGCTGCAGGCCAGGTCACGTCCCTGCTGGGCACCGCTGCAGGCCAGGTCATGTCCCGGCTGGGTGCTGCTGCAGGCCAGGTCACGTCCCGGCTGGGCACCGCTGTGGGGCAGGCCACGTCCCGGCTGGGCACCGCTGCAGGCCAGGCCACGTCCCGGCTGGGCACCGCTGTGGGGCAGGCCACGTCCCGGCTGGGCGCTGGCCTGAGTCCCGGCTGGGCGCCGGCCTGAGTTCCTGCTACTACGCTTCTGACCCAGCTCCCTGCCGCTGGACTTGACTCTCAAATAAATAAGAAAGAAATCTTGAAAGAAAAAAAGAAAGCCTGAAGGTATACCCTTTATACTTATGAATAGCAAATAAGTACTAGAAATATTACCAGTGTTAGTGAATTGCAAATTAAATCTGTAATGAGATACTGTACAATTAACATGATTAAAATGAGACAATTCCTGACAGGAACTAAACTGGAAAGCCTGCTCCGTGACCCGCCGTGCGGGCCAGTGGAGACAGACACGCTGCAGGCAGCAGTCGATGGTACAACACCTTAGAGGAGGTTTGG